GAGGGAGTGCAGATCGGAGAGATTACGGGGGAGTGAAAAGCGAGCAGAACCACTTGGATGCTTGAGAACTTGGTTGTATTTCCAGTCTCCTCCAGCTCCCATGTGCTGAGAGCCGGACCGAGCTGCTCGTCTGACAGGTTTGAAAATGAACGACTATCTTCCCTGCCACCCCCAGATGTGTCTGTGTCAGGATGACATTTGTTTTAGAGCACTCCACGAAAGGTTTGCAAAGCAGCGTTTCTTTTTTTTTATTTTTTTTTTTGAGTTGGAGTCTCACTCTGCCGCCCAGACTGGAGTGCAGTGGCCGCTCCCGGCCACCGCAGCCTCGACCTGCTGGGCTCCGGCGATCCTTCCGCCTCTGCCTTCCGAGTAGCTGGAACTGCAGGCATGCGCTACCACGCCCAGCTGATTTTTTGATTTATTGTGGAGATGAGGTCTCGCCAAGTTGCCCAGGCGGGTCTCGAACCCGCGGGCTCAGGCAATCCACTCACCTCAGCCTCCCAAAGGCGCGGGATTAAGGCTGAGCCACTGAGCCTGGCTGCAAAGCAGCGTTTCTACAGGAGCGCATGCTGGATGGATACCCTCCGAGGGCATCGAGAATATTAGCACTAACGAGCAGGAGATGCAAGGACAGGCACTGGAAGGAACATCCCCCAGCCCTGTTCCACCCGAGCTTTGACTGCCTTGGATGCTTGTACAATGTTTGTGAGACCAGTTGTCTCAAGTAGGAAGCTAATTGCGCCTTTGAACTTCCAGATTTATATCTGGTTTATCATACTTGCCATTGGCTTCTTACTAGGTGCTGAACACTGTTCCAAGTGCTCAACAAATATCAACACATTTAATCTTCACAACAACCCTGGGTAGTTGACACTGTTGTTATCATCTTCCCCTGTGCACAACTGAGGAAACACAGGTACAGAGACATTAAATAATGGCTGCAGCTTATGTCGCTAAGTGGTAGAACTGGGATTCAAACCCTGCAGGCCAGCCCACGTCTGAGCTCTGTCACCACCACCTTAAGCGTCTGTCCATCGTGACACCGAATCATGTGACTTTTAAAAAAAAAAACAATTCTGGGATCCTAGGGCCAGGAGAAGACAAGCAGAGAAACAGGGCTGTGGTAAGAAGTGGTAGGGTATTCACATGTCTCAAGCACCAGCTCAAAGCCACGGGGCCCACACAATGCCCCTTATCCTACGTGGCTATCTCGGTCTCACAGGTGACTTCTTGACAACTCTGTCTTGTCAGAGGAGAGCTCCCAGCCTTGTCTGTCTCCTGAGACTCCCCAAAGGGCCCACGTTCAGGTACTGTGCTGCCTTTTGATAATTCTATCCCTACTGAGTAGGCTCTGGCCTGAGGACCGATGAGGCCTTTTCGAGAGGGG